AACTGAGACAAATCTTCTGAGCCATTTCTGAGATAAAAACGTTTTATTAACGAATCGTGCAACGAGTTTCAAAAAAATTGTGTGATAATGCGTTCTTAACATCAAGATTTGGAAAACAAGAAGGCCTTTCATATTATCTGGTATACGTTCATATCGGTGCAACAAAAAAAAAACAATTCAGCAATACGATTCATGTGTGAAACACTGAACGGGTAGTAATTATGATTTTGTTGAAAGCATACTATCGCACTATCATAATACTAATTGAAATAACACACCAGATCTACCCGATTCAATAATTCGTGGCATAAAGGTCTATATACTTACAGGTAAAGTTTGAATTTCAATATCAGGTATTAATGAATATCCATCGTCTCCAAAATCTATAGTATTTGTATTGTTATAGTATTTATTACTTCTGTGGCAATTTCTGAATAATTTTAAACATACATTATGCAAGAGCTAAATGTTATAGGCCTGAAATGTTATATAAACTATTAATTAGACATTTAATAATATAACAAAATCATAATTAACTCTCGATGCCATCTAATGGGTCCGATTTTCATTAGATTTGAATCCTATCTGCCGTTTAACAGCCGTTGATGATTAACCGTAAAAATGGATAATCGAGAGTTTGTTTATTGTCGTAACAACAGTAACAATGATAAACGAGGCTACAGTATTATTAAGATGAGTATTTCTCTGCTCAGAGTGGAGTAATTTGACTGAAATTTCCAGCATATTCCCGTTACATTATCTATTTTTTTAACTATTATAGCGAGAACTGTCAGCTCTTTATCTAATCTCCCATAATGTCGCTATAAGTATTGTAATATTAAACTGTTAGTTATATTCCTAAAGCAATCGTAACGAACGTTATCGACTACCACTGCCACATACAAGTTTTGGGCGATTCTACCCGCCCCACAGCGGGATTCAAAGTCGGGGCATTCTAGTTCATAAGTGATGTGTTTGATATTTATTTTTTTTAAACGTGGTGAATATTATAACCCAACCTGACTTGAACTGGTAATGTCTCAAAGCATAACTCAAATTCTGGATCACATTCGCTTCCTTTATCACAAGTAGGTCTAGATTCCGAAGTATAATTTACAAATTGTACATTCATTATGCTACTGCATTCCACAGCCTGAAGAAAAATACTGCAAGTAAGTTGTCAATCTTTCAGGAAATTGTATCTTTATTAATTGGGTTTTTCTAGTGTTTTTTATGTGAACCTAGAAAGGTCTTGTCGAGAAGACAGTGTACTACCATTCTTCATTTTTGAAACAAAATAAAAGGTGCAGAAGGCCACTAAAAAAATATAATTTGCAAATACGATTTTAAAACAAGTAGTGTTGATATAATAATAAAGATAATCAAAACCCAAAATATTTACAGGTTAGATTATCATAATGCGTCCAGGTAGGTATGATTTAATAATCTGGTTTCATGTCAGCTCTGTTTAATCAGCATTTGATAATCGAGTACCGAACTTGTTCTATCCATTGTAGCTTTACTTTCACTAGACCGATTTGGCCATTTTAGGTTTTAAATATTGTCTTGATGTTGGTTATAGTTTTGAGGTAATACTAAGGGTTTAATTCAGTCGTGGTGTCTTTGCACTAGTTAATTTATTTTGATAGTTACTTTTATACAATGCGTTTAGGAGATTTTTGCGACACAATTCTATCTACTTACGGATCTAGTTTAAGCACAGTATACCTTTTCTTAATCAGAAAAGATAAGAGGAAATACATCAATTCTTACCTGTAAAATAGCGAGGATACTTATCATTAACTTTAATATTAACATCTTGGTGAATCCCAGTTGTGCTTCTAATGCAGCACACTAAATGGTAATGACCATTACTATTAATTGAGAAATATAATCTTATCTCACCTTATCTGATAACAGACTTTATCACCCAATAATACATTCTACAGTAGATATCGCTTGTGTGATAAATTTCATAATCTACATGAATTTGATTGGTCAGTTAAAAAGGAAATACTTTTTTTTATTTTCAAAGAACAGTTCATTTTTTTTAATTAAAAGTAACTGTGTTTGTTTTGGTTTTTTTTTTGTCAAAAATGAACTACTTTTATTTAATTGACTTTGATGGAAACACTGGGTCAATATAAAGGACTTTGCAATGGTTGAATTGCTGTCAAAAATGATGTATCACTACGCCGTAATGTAATCGGGTTCAGTAAAAGTGAAATCTATAGCAAAAAATTATATTTATTTATTTGTGCATGTAAGAAAGGATTGGGTGATAAATGAAATCTTCTACTCTCTTTTTGATATCAAAAAATATCAACACAGGTCGATAAAATAAAGAAAAAACGAGGCTCGCAGGAGATTCTCTATATCCCGTTTTCTACGTAACCAGTAGCCTCATGTTAATTGGATGAAAACACCAACTATAGCGGGGACACCTGTAATAACGTTTTGTTTTTGCCACCGCCTGACGATGCTCATGCAGGGGTTGAAATAGTTATCTGTAGACTGATGATTTAATGATATATATTTATTAAAATATAGACAACAAAACTTGTTTTTTTTTCTTCTTGTTTTAACTTCGTTGTCGTGGAAACCAACTGCAAAGCCAACGAAGATGATTAATTTGAATAGAAATCTAAAATAATATTTATCGGTTTTAAAGGGAGATAACTGCATAAAAAAATCCATTTTCTGCAAATTATTGAATATTCATTGTAGTAATTATACTAATTTTATGATATACGGTAGCATTGGGTTATTATTTGTTTGTTTTGGGTGATATAGCGAGGCAAATGGAACTGCCAGACATCGGTCATCGCATTTGAAGTACATTTCCCACGATATAACTAGCTATTTTTGGAAAAATTGAAGTAATATGCCCATTTTGCATAATTATGTTGTAGTTTTGGATAGTATGTGGTGATATCGGGGTGGTATTGGGCGATATTTGGGCGAAGTTTGGTAATGCTTGGAGCCAACTTAGTTTGTCCCCGAGAGTCAAGTATAGAGCCTAGTACTGAGAAATGTGGGAAAAGAAGACATTTGAAATACATGTATGTAAAAACAGATGAAATAAACTTTTTATTCAAATTAATTAAGACAGCGAAAATTTCAAATTAAAAAACAACTTGATTTTAATAATTGATTAGATGCCCCCTGAAAGTGGATTCCAGGGGCCGTTAACCCCCAAGTTCAAACAGCTATGGTGGCTGGTACTTGTATTATATTGTACATTTTCACCCGAAAAGGCCTTATTGAAGTTTGTATATTTTAAGCATTATAACTAACGTTCGAGTAATAATCTTATAAACGAGTAAAACAATAAATTAATTAGAAATCCCACTCATTTCATTTCATTGTAAAGTTATCGATAGAGCTTTCAAAACAGTGAAAAAAGTCAATATTTGGTGTAGCCTTCGTCAGCCTGGATCACCTGTTGAACTCTCTTCCTCATGGGACGTTGGAACTGAGTCTGCGTTTGTCTGTTCAATTCCCGATGTATTGCCTGATCTAAATCTTGAAGATTCTGCCCTGGTTGATACCTCTGACTAATTTTACAAAATGTTCCAGATATACTCAATTGGATTCTGGCTAAGATATTGTAGCGACACCAGAAAATCAACAACGTCCATCAACGTTGTCGTCCATAAAGGTTGACCATGTGAGAAGAGGGTGATTGTCAAAGTGGGGCACTGCAACCCTTCCAGGATCCCTCTTTGATAACGCTAAACATTGAGATGACCCCGAACTGTTGCCTAAAAGTGCTATACAAAATTATCAATAATCTAACTCCTCCTTATCTTAAGAATCTCATAGATCTTAAACCAACAAATACAAGTCATATTCCAATAGAAACGAAGATAGAGTAAAAGAAATTCGATGTCGTACTGGATTCTTTTTCAAATCATTTATCCCATCCGGTATAAGAGAATGGAATAAACGTGGTACCCCTGCAAGAAAATCGAGAACTCTTAAAATATTCTCTGACCATCACTCCATTTGATATATAACGGTCAGCGGAAGTTCCAAATAATTCCTAGCAAATTTAGACTCCGATGCTCTGACCTGCAGGGTCACAAATTTGAAGGCCCAAATCACTACTTTCTGTGATGCTCTTTAGATTCAAATGCACGAAAGGAACTACAATAAACTGTCTCCTGCTGGACTCCACAGCCCAGCCCTGTACGTCTCCAAACCCGTGCTCTACCATGAGTTATGATCAAGAGAAAGCGACTTTCATCATCCGACAAGTGAATTTTTCACTATGACGTCATGTTCCAATTATGACAGGCTCGGCACTATGTTATTCGTGCCAAGAGAGGTCATCTGATCTGCGAGATTTACCAGAATATTGACGGTCCTTTACGTCATTACTAATGGTCGAAGGATGGTGATTGAACTGTCTGGCAATCTGTCTCATTGACATCCCTAAATTCCTCATGCCAATAATTTACCATTGTTTCGCTGTAGTGAGTTGTCGAGAAGCTATTGTGAAACATAGACAGCGAATACAACGATGGCTGGATTACCAAACAAGCTTTTCGTAACGCAAAAGGTTACGTGCTGCACTGGCAGCTTTCACTGGTATGTATAGAGGACAGAATATTTAAAGATTGTATAGCACTTTGGCATATATGGGGTCTTTCATGTAGCTCATCAGATGTGGATGCAAGAGTGACACCCCATGTAGTAAGCTTGCTTGTAACTGCACTAGGGATTGCCAAGAATTACAGTATTTTGCGCATGTGTTGTCGCAGGATGCAACCAGACACACGACTAACGGATTAAACTGAATATTATTAGTTTTATGGTGGTTATATTCGTATTTTGCGGGTATAGAGTTTGTTTTTTAAATGTTCAAAACACAGCTTAATTGTGCCCTCCTTTTCATGTTCGTCCCATGTGGCCCTGGGATCCCCGATAGGCATGCATGTGGTGTTATCGTATCACTCATATGCTCCTATGTCCAGAACCATATAGTTTGTCTCTAGATACAGTTTGGCTTGGTGAAAAAATCGCCCCAACCGCCGTGATCGAGTTAATGGGCCATATTGTCTGGCATTTTGAATTTTACTATCATGTAAATCACCCCACAATATAATGAACGATTTCGTTGTATTCATTGGCCCCAAAAACATACGGCTCGACACCAAAAATAGCTTCCTAGACTAACTGCTATGAGTTAAAGGGGATTGTTTGAAATGGAGGCCGTCTTGGACGCCGTCTTGAATTTCTCAAAACGCTCAAGGTTGACCCAGACTCACCCGGCAGATTCCGAAAGAGTACACCCAGGCTACTAAAATCAATCATAAAAGAACTTATGCAATTTCCAGGTTCAGCCATAGTTCTGTCGGACTATATATGTGTGTCTCGATGACCAGGGATAGATAACTCTGGTGAAAATTCCGTGGAAATATTTATTACGGGTAGGTGGATTTTTCTGATAAATTGACACTGAAATTGTTAAACAGGCCAAGTAAAGCATTGTGGTAATTCAAGAATTCGTCTCTCTATATTGTTCTATTTATTAAGTATACACCATGTCGTATACTGGACTCTTTTCCAAATCATTTATCCCATCCAGTATAAGGTCGTGACGAGTTAATAAATAGAGATTAATGGTTATTAAAAACTATGTATATGATTAAAGTTTTGGGTTTAAAAAGACCATAGACTAGTGTTCCAGGTAAATGAGGCTCCCATTTGTTTTGAACATTCAGTTTTATTTACAATGAAATGTATTCCAGGCACTCATCAAAGAAGATTGTTGTTTTCGAGAGCTGGGAAATTTGTGATTGACGATTTGTCTGATTCAACAGAATAAAAGTTCCATCGTCGAACTTGAAAATGGAGGGGCATGGAGTAGAGGTTCAAAGCGGGTAGCCCAACATATAGTGCATGTTATTTATATACGCGTGAATAGGACATTAGTGAAGAGGATACGAGTTATTATGTTATTATAGTAACGTTAAAGAAATCTATGTTTTATAACTGGGACACTGGAAGAGAACGAACATTTACATCAGTTATGTTTTTCTATAATCTGATTATGTGAAGTCGTAATAGACATTAGAGAGCAGTGAGTATCATTAATGCATGCGATTATTATACCGTCATATGTAAGAATTTTAGCCATATCAGTGTTGATATAGTTTTTGCGGCGGGAGGAATGCTGGTGATTTCTACTTCGCAATCAACTTCTTATAGAAGACATATTTATATGTTTGAACGCCCTCACCATTAAAAAACATGGAGCCTTGGGAGTTTAATACGGCGATTATAAGGAATAATGTGTCCACATTTAGACAAAGAATGTTAGTCGGTGGAGGACATTTAACAAATTTAAAAAAAAAACACCACATAAAATATTAAATAATAGTAATATATCCGTCGACAAACTCATCACACAAGATTGACATAATTCACAATTAGGAGACAACAAAATAGGTTATAGTTTATCTAATATCAACCAGAAAGACATTTCAGTAATAAACAAGAATACATTATAACAAGTAAAAGTTCATTTACACTGACTCGGAACAGATTTAGCGCCAGTGAGGATCATTGTATAATGCTAATTTACATTCATAACACTAACGAAATTGCCATTTGTCGGTTTCTCATTATCATAATCAGCAGCTTCTACAGCATCCTTTTTCTCCTGTTGCCCAATTATAATTTCTTCATCGTCGTCCTTTTCATTCTCGTCATTTTGACAACACAAGACAATAAGGCGATATGTCAGCAGCATCACCACCAGTAAATTTTTACACGTAAAGAACAGAATATTGTAAGTTATGAGTGTATATCTAATCAACGCGTACAACCGAACGCACAAAAACGGACCATCTTGCATGAGGAATGTCACCAACAAACTCCACACTTCTGTCGTCAGACACATTATTAATACATCCTTCTTTTTCTTGCCTTTCGTTGGTGCGGATGATTCAGTGGGGTGGACTGTTGCTACTCTGGCCTTTTTGGGATTACGAGTAGCCGTGAGAACCAGACAAAACTGAAGTAAACTGATGGACCAAACAACTAGAATGATGTAGACCAACACCCTGTCATTTCTCACTGTTTGTTCATCAAATAACACAAATAACTCCATAATATCTGAAGCCATACCAATATACACAAACAAGAGTTGAGAAAGTTGGTCACGAGTGATCTCCCCTCGCGGAAGTATCCAACGACATAAAATTAGCAGAAACAACAAAGACTGTTCTATGACCGACACCCAGACATCAGCACTTAATTTTATTGGTATACTTATCTGAAAAATAAATCAAGTAAGAAATGAACATTGAAGCTAACAACATACATAGCACTACGAAAGGGTGTGCACAATAGGCCTACAGTGTCCGTGGTAGTCTGGGTAACAGAGACTATGGCGTGATGCCCTGAGTGAACCAAAGACGCCATTAGCATCAAGTCTATGCTTTTGGGCTATAGTTTGAAAACCAAAAGATAGACGTGTAGCTCTTCTACACAATTAACACTTATATACACGCCATTAGTTGTAGTTGTGGAAAAGACTCGCAATATCCATTATAAATGTCGAGTTTGTGTTTTCTCTCTGTATAGCCTCTATATAATGCATTAGGCCCATAAGTTTACCGAAAACGACAAAAAGACACACTTAAAAGAAAACAATATGCTATACTAAATGGAACCTTGGTGGAAATCAAGATAAAAATCACCAGAAATCCATCTAAAGAGTTTAAGCAGAATGAAATAACGGCGGAGTTTATAAAGATATTTACCCCTTGAACCGATGACAATGCCACACCTGAAGCTGTTACATTCTGGGAAATCAGATCATACTGTTCTAGCCTGTCCAATTCTAGGATCCAGATTGAAGGAACTGTACTCAGCAGATAAAAAAAGAAACATGGACAAACCCTGGAATATAGAGAAATAAAAATCGTTGTTTTAGTACACGTTGAGCTATTTACCTCTGAAGACAATTTATTCTTGAATTACTTTTCTTTTTTTATATTTTTGTGTCACTACCATTTTATTAACCACGTGACTAAAGTGCGCAATGTTTTTTGATTATTTGTACAGTAGACTTCCATTGGCTAGCACGATATGTTCGTTATCCAATCAACAATTAAAACAAAAAGATTTGCTAATAAATAGCAGTGGTGAGTAGGGAGGGTTCATTTTTGAATCTGAAGAATGGCATTGGCGCAGACGATACTAAGGGGTATTACTTATGATATCATTAGCCTGAAGTTAATAGTTTTAAAAAGTTATTAAATAACACTCTTGACTGATGTACAGTATTGAGAAATTTTAGTAAAATGTACTATATCACATACATCTGATCCAAGGATTTTAAAGCTTTTACTAACAAAAAGTATAAGTAAATAAATCTTTATACAATTTGTTTATAATATATTCAACAAAATTTTATCAAGAGTATATTTACAATATATTATTATTGTAAACAAAAATAAAATAAACGTGGAATTTTACAACCACGATTTAGGATCCAAAATATTTCAGCCGGGATTTTAAAATTCTTGATAAAACAGTTATGGGTTTGGTTTATTGCCAATATAATATAACCCTTGACCTCCTTCAAGACCCATCCTTTTTGTTTCATATTTCTACTATCTGTTTATTAATATCAGACCGTGATTATCTATAACAAATAATTATTAAATATTTATCTTAATATTATCTTCCATTGTTTCAATAAGATGTTAAACGGCCATTAGTACGTGGGAAGTTAATGTGTTTGCTAGGCCCCAAATATTTGTTATTTATACGCAAAGGTTTCCATCTACTTTCTTTTGGTATAAGAAAATCACCAAATCCACATTTTTGTGGAGGGCTCTTAAGACCCTTTGTTTTAGTCCCAACCAACTCATTGAAACTTTGATATACGTTTTCAAAGAAATGTCCAGTTGTCGTACGTCTGGATAAATTCTGTCTATAACTCAATATCAACTTTTTTTCCTTCTGCAAATTAAATATTTCCTATTTATTGTAAATGGGTATATAAAATGAGTAAACGGCACCATTCTGTCCGGACCGGTTTACACTACAACATCTTATGTAAACAATGCACGTGCCATCGAGCCAATGATCGACGCCTCGTGATGTGACGTCACGTATAGGAGGCATACTTGAACTTATAACGGTCAGTCATCTTATACAGGGTTATAAGATTCCCGTTGTACCTTGGTTATAAATGATTTTTCAGTTGATCGTAGAATTTTGAAGGACATTAAAACTGTTGTAGTAGTTCATTTGATATTTACCCATACCTATAAATAAACTTTTCCTTTTTTCAGTTATTTCGAAATTAACGCACAATTTCCCAGATTAGATTATTATCTAAAAGCATTTTATGTCTCTTTTTTGCTAAATTTAAATACGGAAAATGATTAGTCTCCCGGGACAATTAAATCTGACACAATATTGGGGTTGTGATGCCATCTCAACATTAGAATTGAAACCGTTAATATGGATAAATATAATCGCCCAAAGATCACCAAGAACAAGGTTCAAGAAAAAAACGCACACAAGCTTTAAAGAAATGTTTACTATTACAAACCTATAGCCGGCATACTGTTGTGTTTATTAAGTAAAATATGTTTATCTAAAGTTAAAGCCATTAATGAGGATGTTCATACCCAGTGAAATGTGAAATTAGAACAAATTATGATATTAATGGGATAATCGATCGTGATGAAATTTCCTTTTGTTATCGAACTAATGTCCCAACTTCCTAGAAACTAAGAATTAAATAGAGCACATTATCCTGAAATTTCATTTTTATCAGGCCTCTTTCATGGGCTCTGAGAGAGAGAGAGAGAGAGAGAGAGAGAGAGAGACTAGGTCATTTTGGAACCCCGATCGACAGCATGTTTACCCTCTTTAGGGAAAATATATTTAGCTTACACGGTGAATAAAATCTTCATAGATAGTTGACCTCTTATCAACTACAGACCTATCGGACATGAAACTGATAACCTTTGTTAATCATTTATTGTTCCGATAAATTGATTTCCCATGTTCAACTTATTGATGTTTGATTGCAGACATTATTATTTATCACTATATTAAACAATACATATAGATAAAGTAACCGACAAGGTGAATTTATATCTACACAAAATTTAACGAATTTCGGTCAAGTAATGATTTTTGTTTTCTGTGGACAAATATTTAATATATGTGCATGTAAATATTCTTAGTTTCGCCCGACTAGTTCACATCGTTTAGTACAAGTCATTAAAATATCTTTATGAGTCATTCTTATAGACCATACATTTAAAGGTGAGGTACCAGCTATATCGTTCAGTGAATAAACCTGATTGCATGAGCATTATGTAAGATTTAGGTAAAGTGCTGATAGTCCTCGCTATCATAGTTCAAAAATAGATCATGCAAAAGTAATAAACTAAACAGCAAAAAAAACCCAAAAAAAAGTCATTACGATTTCAAAATCAGAGAGGCACTTTAATCAAATCATTCTAGAAAACGACTTAGGAACTGCATCAAAGCAATTTTTTGTGAACAGTATGTTGACACATTAGTGATTAATTCGTCACAATTCAAAGACATTACGAGAAGGTTTAGAGTCTGTACACAGTCTATACATCAGTATCTGGTGTGTCTACCGTGAGTGTCAATAACAGCAGCGCAGCGTCTGTACATGGAGTGGACCAGACGATTGATGAACGCCATTGGCACCTGGAACCACACTCTCAGAAAAGCCTGACGTAATCCATCGGCTGTGTTTGGTCTCGATACGACGTTATCAAGTCTCCACTGAATTTCATCCCAAAGATGTCCAATCGGGTTTAAGTCCGGACTAAGGGCTGGCCAGTGCACAAAGTTGACACCGTTCTGCTGTAGAAAGCCCCGAGTAACTCTGACGGTGTGGGCACGGGCGTTGTCATGCTGGAAAACGTTGTTTCGATTACGTGCGCACTGCTGTGATGCTGCCTCCTCTCCCTGGACCAAGATTTTGGAACACCACAGGGCCCACTCTCTGGTTCAGGCCGATTCCAACCCAAACCATTATGCTTGGACCTCCCCATGAATCTCGTTTCATGACAAATTGGTCAGAATGACGCTGGCCACGTCGACGCCATATTCTGGTCCGGCCATCTGCAGTTGATACGCAATACCGACTCTCATCTGTAAACAGAATAGTTCTCAACTGCGTGTGTCACCAGTTCTGGTGTTGTTGGGCAAACTGTAGACGTTTACGGCGATGGCGAGGGGGTGAGGATCGGTCTACGGTAAGGTCTACTGCAATGGATGTTCTCTCTGATGAGACGTCGGCGCACTGTATCGGTACTGATGGGTCTTCCGTGTGTTCCCACTGTCTGACGTGTTGTCTCAGATGCCTGTGTGAAGGGATTCTGCACGTGCTGTCGCACAGCATGGCGGTCTTGTCGCCTTGTGGTAATCCTTGGTCTACCAATTCGGGGGCGATCATCCCTGGTGTTTGTGGCCCGAAAGCGTTGCTGAAGCCTGTAGATGGACCGAACATTGACCTGGAAGTGATTAACAACGGCTTGGGCAGTGTGACCAGCGTCGAGTCAGCCATGCGCCTGGTTCCTCTCAGCTGTCGTGAGTCGTGGTATGCTGCTGATGTTATATTGTGAATGATTCAACCAGGTATGGGGGTGCATTTTATAGGGCTGGTCCCGGTGTACAGCACGTGCACCATGAGTTACATGAAAATCATGGAGAACACTATACCATCTCAGAAGCCAGGTTGCGTTTTTGAGAACATTTCCAGGGTTCAATTTTGTGTTTGGGTTGCCTTATTGCTCAGGTAAAGTTGGAGATGTGGTCACAAATATACAATAAAAACATTTGGCAAGTTTTATGCAATGCGTCTATTCAGGGTAACATACCAACCTAACGTTTCATTTACTGCTTAGTATATATTTAAAATTTCAGTCAAACTACTATATTTTCAGCAAAGGTGTCGGTGTTGGAAGTTTTGATAAGAATAGTGTAGTCTTCATTTCCATTGCTACCATTGTTAAGACAATAACGAAAGTCCCTATTATTCATTTTTAGTATAATTAATTATAATAGGCAGATTTAGCTCTTATATAAAGTATATTTATGTCTATGAGAAAGACTCCTGGAAACCGTTCAGTTCTGAAATCTTTAAACCTGGGGGTTTGTTTTATAAAAATCCCCAGAGTTTAGTTTCCATGTCACTTTGGTCATATATAGGTCCCAAAATTCCACGTTATGTCAGTATCAACTCTGTCTATATATCTTTTGGACTATTATGGTGTATAATTGAAAACTGAAATTTATAATTTAACCAAGCAATTTGAGCGACCATTTCCTAACTGCTCAATGATGTGGCTTCGGCACATTTTGTTGTTTGATTAAAAATTTCAATGTGGAATTAACAAACAAATAAACAAACAAGTAACGTTTTCTTGGCACACGAAATGTGGTCAGAAACCTTACTTTACATCTATATACTTTCATGAACTCAGAGCTTCCGTTTTGCTTTGTAAACTACACTATGGGATATTTTACTACGAGACAATACATATACAAAATAAAAAACAATCGATAGCGAAAATCAACATTTCAGATCTTTCAGTTCCCATTACAAAAGCGTAAAACAAATGCACGTTTTATCATCGAATTAAAAAAAAGAAACATAATATTTTATTCTACTGAACATTTAGTTTTTTTGTTTTTGGATTTCTGCATCCCTGTTTATGGCTTTTTAACTTTATGCTTCTGGATATCATAACAATCTCTTGTTGTGCTTTAATGGAAAGTCATTCAGATCAAATAAGTATTGCACGGTGAAGGATTAATATTTAATATATTAACACAATGCCGCATGCAACAAAGGAATCAAAGTAAAAGTTTATCGCATTTTAAACAGAACA